TACCGCCCCCTTACCCCCGCCCCACGCATCCATTCCACTTTAGGGCTGAACACATTAATACAGTCCTCTCCCAAACCCCCCAATTTTCCCCTTCCTAACTCCCAATTTCTCCCGCCTACACGCCCTAGTGACCTCAGGCTGAGAAAATAATTCGTATTATTATTACAAACAAACTCACTCTCCAGAAGCCTGGTTTCTGAAACCCAGTTTATTTCCATGGAGACCCTCCTCTGCTTTCTCCTCTTTCCGTGTTCTCCTTCCCTCCATCTCCCTGCCCCCCTCCCCCAGGGCTCTGACTCAGCTCCCCCTCTTCCTCAAAGGCCACCTCCCCTCCCTCCCCTTGCTCGCACTCTTCTCCAAGAGCTTTCCCTGCCTGCCCCATCACCGCTATGTCCAGCTGTCTTTCCTCTCTGACCTAGCCACAGGTCTTGGTCTCATTTCACAAGATCCCAAGAGAGCAGAAAAACTTGGGGTATATGGAGAGCCCTACCTCTCAGCTCCTGGGACTTCCATCACCTTTGCTCTATTGCTGCAAGCTGATTGCCTCTTTGTGCCCAAGACCCAGTCAATATACTTCTTCCAGAGAAGGGACCTATAATCTTAAACCCAAAAGTTCATGTATGTAATGGCATTAGGGCAGATGGCGCAGGCTGAATCTCTCTGTAAATACTCAAGAAATCCTTCCCCAAAACTTCCAGAGGGTACCTGTACTCAGGTCAGGAGTCTCCCTTGGTTTCCAAGACTTCCAGAGGGTACCTGTACTCAGGTCAGGAGTCTCCCTTGGTTCCCAAGTCTTCCAGAGGGTACCTGTACTCAGGTCAGGAGTCTCCCTTGGTTCCCAAGTCTTCCAGAGGGTACCTGTACTCAGGTCAGGAGTCTCCCTTGGTTCCCAAGTCTTCCAGAGGGTACCTGTACTCAGGTCAGGAGTCTCCCTTGGTTCCCAAGTCTTCCAGAGGGTACCTGTACTCAGGTCAGGAGTCTCCCTTGGTTCCCAAGACTTCCAGAGGGTACCTGTACTCAGGTCAGGAGTCTCCCTTGGTTCCCAAGTCTTCCAGAGGGTACCTGTACTCAGGTCAGGAGTCTCCCTTGGTTCCTCGCTTTCCACCAGTTCTCAGTATCCTGGCCACATCCCCCACTGTCCTCTGTCCTCTCACCTGACTTTCTTTTCCTTTAGCTCTGAAACTACAAGTCCTCTAGTTTCTTGTTCCTCTCTCTATCTGCTCTTGAATCCATCTCCTGTCCCCTGAGAGAATTGGGCTCAAAGTCTCCATCTCATCTGTGAGTTCTCTGGCTCCAAGGGAAATAGTCTCAAGTTCTCCCCTACCACCTGCCCCTATCCCCACCATATCTTTTCCTGTCAACCACATTCCCTGACTAGTGGAAATGCCCAAGGGGGACGTCACATTCCTCTCATCCCTCAAATATCAAAGCCAGCTGCACAGTAGAGTAGCTTCCCCTAGAAAGCCGTGTCCTTGTTTGTAGGGCAGTTAATTGGTGAGAAGTCTGGATCGAATAAAGACAATCTCAAGGATTCCTCAGAACAGAATGGAAAATGGTGTTCGTGATACAACCCAGTCTCTGACCCCTCCCTTTCTGTGTAAACAACACTAGATAGGGCCAGGAAGCATTTTTTTTTTCCTAAGTGTTATTCCCCATTGAGCTGAAATGAGTATTTTGCTTCACTTATTATTTCTCTCACCAGAAATATGGGGATGGTGAAGACAGAGAAGGAAATGGGCAGTGAGAAGGCATGACACTGGGGGGCAGGGGTGGAAGGGCTGGACCCTAGGGTGTGGCCTCTCTGCCTTTTATGGGAAGGGAGCAAGCAGAGATCCAGGAGAATTGGGGTGAGCAAATAACCTTCCGGATGCTTCAGGGAACGAGGTGATTGCAGTGGACTGGAAAGGCCTCAGGGATGTGGACCAGCTCAACATGGACAGCACCAGCTCGCTGCATGGCAGCAGCCTCCATCGGCCTTCTACAGAGGTACAGCTGCATGCCTCAGAGACCCAACAACTACAACAGCCTCGCCCAAGTTCCTAATCATCCCATAAAGGCCCAAGGAGGAAGTCCCTCACAAATCTACAGCCACATCCCAAACACTCCTGTAGACTGAATGAAACACACACCCAAAGATCTTTCTCAGCCTCAGGAAGGGCTACCTCTGTGTGCATATCTGGAGGCCCCTCAGAAGAAGAAGGCAGGAGTGCCTGCCCTTCTAGAGGTGCCCAGGTACCATCCCTTCTCCTCTCTCCCACAGCAAACACGAACAGATTTCTCCTGGGACGGCATCAATGTGAGTGTAGCCACCTCTATAGCCCCCTCAACCTACCCTGACCCTTCTTTTATTATGTTCATTGGGACCCTCTATAGACAGGCTGCGTGAGCCTTCCCCTGTTCTGCTGACCCCCCCCCCCCCAGTTTTCAGGGGTGTGGCAGGTATATTCTTCCTTGGTTTTCTTTGTCACTTGCTCCCTTGGGTAGCCACCTTCCTGGAAGCCAAAAACTCTCTTCTATATTTAAGGTACCCGTGTCTTCTTGTTCCTCTGCCCACTCTCTTACCTTCCTTGTCCTAGCTCTCCATGGAGGATACAACTTCCATCCTTCCGAAGCTTAAGCGAAACTCTAATGCCTATGGCATTGGGGCCCTGGCCAAGTCATCGTTCTCAGGTGAGATGCCAAACCTGGAAATTGGAAGACTAGTAGGATCTTCCTTAGGCCCCTGCTCCTCAAGGCGTTTCAGAGTTCATCCTCACAACTCTGAAACATCACTGTTCTGTCAAGCCTCTCCTGTCCTGAGTCTACCCCTCAGGGTACCAGGGGATACTTTTCTAGGATGGATGGGATCCCATGGAACCTGGGTGGAGGATGATGGGAGGATCTGCTGTGAGTGTTTTGTCTGATAACCTGAAGGGTGTGGGTGTTGTTTGACTCCATAGGGATCTCGAGAAGCATGAAGGACCATGTGACAAAGCCTACAGCCATGGGGCAAGGGCGGGTGGCCCACATGATTGAGTGGCAGGGCTGGGGGAAGGCCCCAACAATTCAGCCACAACACAGCCACGAGGCTGTGCGCAGGGATACAGATGCTTACTCTGACCTCAGCGATGGCGAGAAGGAGGCTCGTTTCCTAGCAGGTACTTGTATCCCAAAGCCCTCAAATGACACGTTTTGTTTTTGTTTTGGATGGTTAGAGGCTGACTCTCCAATCTGCTCCCTAATGGCAAAATGGTCTCCCTGCATGTTGACCACAGGCTCACATTTTCTAACAGCCCTGACTTCAAGGGGTTTTTGTTTGTGGGGGGGCGATGGTTAGGGGCGATGGTTAATTGTGTAAGTGTACCCCCAATATATTTTTATTATAGCCTTAGAAAATGGGACTCAAATGAGGTTTGTGAGGCCAAGTGTTCCAGATGTTTTCTTTCCTCTAGTATGGCACAGTCTTTCCCCAGGCCTCTCTCAGTACACAGGAAAACACAGGGGCCTTGAACTTCAAATGACTCTGCTTATATTTGTTTCTAAAAATGAAAGAGGCCTCTGGGATTTCTTCTGGCCTTGCTCCTCAACATTTGATTTCACAAATTGACTTATTGGACTCAAGTCTGTGACAACTAGTGGATGATTAAGGGGAATGGCCCTGGGGACGGCGGTTTAGTTCTGATAGCAGTGACAGAGGTCTGATGACAAGTATGTGGTGTGCATACAAGGTGAACTAGCCCTGTTGAAGGTTTCAGGAAGATACCCAAGAAGAGGGGCAGTAGGTCTGCAGAGAAGATTTTTTTGTGTGTTGTTGGTACAGGTGGTGGGTGGTGGAGGGAGTCTGAGTGGGGCTGGTGATAGATGAGAGGGAGGGCAAGGAAGAGCAATGGGGGCTTCAGCTTATTTACAGCTCTGACTAGAGACCCACAATGCTCCCAAGTCTCTCACCCTTACTCTCATGCCCTTCCTTCTTTTAGTGTCTTGATATTGTCCCTTATAAGACTGGGGTCCCGTGTTCACCTGATGCTCTCTTGGGAATCCTTCATTTATCTTGAAACTACTCTCTAGATTCCACTGTCCTAGACCATCTGAAACTAGCTTCAATTTATTTCTTTAAAATATATTTATTACTTTATTTATGTTCACATGTTTTTGTCTGCATATGTATGTCCACATGTATGCAAGAGACCTTGGAGGCCAAGGGTGTTGGAGGCCCTGAAGCTTGATTTCCAGGCTGTTGTGAGCTGCCTGCCATGGGTGCTCAGAACCAAACTCAGGTCCTCCACTGGAGCAATAAGGTCTCTTTACTACTAAGCCATCTCTCTAACTCCAGGTTCAAACTCTATAACCTCCAAGAACAAACTTCTGGAATGTCTACCTTTAGTCTCCAGGCTATCTCAACAGAAGAGCCCATCTTTTTTTTTTCCATCTAGGAATCCTAAGTGTGACATTCTGGAAAATCCCCCATGGTCTACCCTTGTTTCAGAGTAACAGAGGAGCCACTGGCTTCATGTGGGCTTTGAGAATTTGTAATGTGACCGGTCTCAGTGGAGATGTGCTATAAGTAAAGTACCAACTGAATTTCAAAGACTTCCTATGAAGAATGTAAAATATCTCATTAATTATGCTTATGTTGATTGTATATTGAAAGAGAATCCTACATTGACTAAAGTAAGATTTGTTATTAAAACTAGTTTCACTTGCTTCTGTTTAGTTTTCTTAAATGAGATGATACATGGTTTATATTTTACTTCCACTGAACCATGCTGCTCCAGGTTTCTCCTTTTCATGGGTTTAAGGGTTTCTTGAGGACTCCTAGGATAATTTCATTTCTTCTCATAGGTGTCATGGAACAATTTGCTATTTCTGAAGCTACACTAATGGCCTGGTCTTCCATGGATGGTGAGGACATGAGCGTGAATTCTACGCAGGAGCCACTGGACTGCAACTACAGTGACAATTACCAGGAGCTGATGGAGAGTCAGGGTGAGAGACGGTTCTAGATTCCAGCCCCTGAAGCCTAATAGGCTTCCTAGCAATTTAGGCTCCCTCTACCCTTTTCTGGTTTTTTTGTTTGTTTGTTTTTGTTTTTGTTTTGGACTTTGCCATTTGTCTCAGCTTCCCCAGTGCCCTCATGCCTGTGTCATAACCATATGACAGTTACATGAGCCCTCTCACTGCCTGTGATATTCTGTGGCTCCCCCAACCTTGCTCACTCTCTTTTCAGATGCACTCGCTCAAGCCCCCATGGACGGATGGCCTCACTCCTATGTGTCCCAGGGCATGTACTGCCTGGGGTCATCAGATGCCTGGGAGGCGAGTGACCAGTCCCTCATTGCATCTCCAGCTACAGGATCCTATCTTGGCCCTGCATTTGATGACTCACAGCCCAGCCTGCATGACATGGGGCCTTCCCAACCTGCTTCGGGATACTCTGCTCACGAGCCTCCACCTTTGTTGGGGGTGGACACTGACTGGGCACCAGAGGTTAGTGGGGTGGACCTGGCCAGGGGGTCTGCAGAGGAAGAGAAGAGGCCACTGGCCCCTGAGGAGGAAGAGGATGCCGGATGCCGGGACCTGGAGTCGCTTTCCCCGAGAGAAGACCCGGAAATGTCCACTGCTCTCAGCCGGAAGGTGTCTGATGTCACCTCCTCCGGTGTGCAGTCCTTTGATGAGGAGGAGGGGGACGCCAACAACTAGCTTCTTCCCACCCCACTGACCTGAGGGGCCGTGGCTGCAACCCATCCCCTCCCAAGCTCCAGCAGCACAGATGAAACCCGGGGCGGAAGACAGCAGGGAGCCGGGAGCTTCCAGCCCTCACCAGCCTGCCAGCAGTCCTGGAAAAATGAAGGACCAGCAGGGGGTTTTATCTAGGCTTGTACTCCACAAACCATCATTCCAGGAACTGAGACCCAGGCAATTAGGTGGCTGTGAACCTGGCATGGTGGTGGGAGATGAGCCATGGCTATGGCTCTTGGGTCCAGGTGCGTCATGCTGAACACTGAATCTCAGTTCTTACACCCCTGACTTTGTCTTCCGGGAGGCTTGGCTGTGCTGTCTGAATGCCTCCTTCCCCCATTTCATTCTTGCTTTCCTGATTCTGTTTTCTCTGGCCATGGCATCAGTGCATTCCCACGGTGAGAAGCAGGGCCTCAGGGGCTGTTGGACATGGCTTGGCAGGGTCAGCAGAGTGGCCTGAACGGCCCTTCTGTGTATAGCATAGACTGTGTGACCAATTCAGGCAATCTTTGGCTTCTGGGATCAGGAGCCAATGACAAGATGGGCGTGGCAGCTGGAATTGACAGGGGTCACCCTATGCTTCTTTATCCCAAAGCCTACTCAGATGCAAGAGGGTCACCAATGAAACAATAAACACAGCCACTTGAATGTCCTGTGGCTGGAAGGAGGACCTTAAGGATCTTGGAGAAGGCCCGATGGGGTTGGCTACTCCAGTGCTGGCTTCCCTTTCTGCCTTCTTCCATATGGAGCCCAGACCCAAGGAGGGCGAGTGGGCCTCGTTCTCAGATCGTTGACCTAGGATGCAGTGTCCCCGTCAGCGGGGGTACCATGAGGGCTGGGCCTCCCTCAACCTTTCCCTATCCCCTGGAGCTGTTTACACTTTTCTCTTTGCCTTTTCTACATTTTTATAACTTCTTGGGGACTCAGGGTTGAGCAGAGTGGAGTGGGGTGTCTGGTGCTGTCACTGCCTTGGCTGGGCTGGGCTGGTGGCTGAGGGCCAGGGCGGACAGACACACTGGCTGTTTCTGCTTTTTTGTCAGCCGTTCCCAGGGCTCCATCATCCATTGTTCTTTACAGGACTGGTGGTGGTGGGACATAAGCTCGCCCTCCCGCATCCCCCTTGCCCTTTGATTTGGAGTGGACCTTGGGGACAGGGAAAAGCAGCAAGTCAGCGCAGTGTTGCTATGAGGGCGCCGGAGCGGCTGCAGCCTCCATCTGGCCCTTAGCATTAGTGGAGTTTTGATAGGAGATGCCCAAGGTTGTCATCCCGCTCTTCTTCGTCCTCCTGTCTGTCCATGGCTCCAGTTCCAAGGCTTTGTGTCCCACTCTAACTGTCAGAGGTCCTGAGTTACTCCCTCACCCACAGGATTGATGAGGCTCAGAGTTGGAGTGATTCTGTTCTTCCGTTACTCTGTCCTGCACACCACACTCATATCCTGAAGTGTAACCTTAGTAGGTGTCCCACATCCTCCAGGGGATGGGGAAGCGTGGGAGCCTGGGGTCTATCGATGTCGGAACCATGGGAGTAGACCTGGAGAGCCAAGGTAGGTGAACAGTCAGTCACTTAGCTCATGTAACGCTGCCTGAATGGGAGAAGATACCTCGTGTTTGCTAGTGTGTTGTGGTTTAGCCTATCAGGACCTCATTTCTAGGACTAGGAAGGGCTAGCCTGCCAACCCTGGCAACTGCCCCTGACCCCTGTCTCCTGTCCTAGCCCCCCTGGGAATTTGCATGTTCACGCTAACCTACTCCTAGGGTCTCTCTGCCTTGTTTATCCTGTTCTATCAACATGTTTGTCTCATCTCAGTGCCTCCCCCCGCCCCACGCATTCTTCCCCCAGGTGATGGTGGACCTCGAGTCCAAGTCCGGTGAGCAGGTTTATTTACTTTGATTCCCTTTTGCTCAGGGCCCCCCGGAGAGTTAGGCAGACTAAACTGAAGCAGCTGGCTTTCCTCCTCCCATTTCTCAAGGAAGCCAAATGGTCCCCAGTGAAAGACTACAAAAGACCTGGAGGAACCTGGTAGGGTTTGTTCCTGAGCAGGGGCTTGGTTTCCCCAGGCTGCTGGCACCCTGCCACTAAGGCAGGTGAGGCCCACCCCACTCTGAAGAGAGAAGACTCAAGGAGCTGGCCCAGGACCATTTTGAACTCTTTGGAGGGAGGGACCACCTCTCTGGTGCATGGGGGTTTGCTTCTAGCCTACTTTAAGGGGAGGGGTGGTGCATGTGCAGGAAGGGGATGGGGGGGGAGGGTTGCTTTTCCTTTGGGGTTAAAGGCTGTGCAGCACGTTTTACAGCAGCTGGGGAGCAGGGCTGTTTTTTATATTCTTGTGAATGAAACTGCTCTTGCTGAATGATTTTTTTTAGGGGGGGTACACTTTTATTTTCAATTGGCTTTATTAAATGAAAATCCAAACCTTCCATTCTTCCCTTCCATTGGCCACCCCCAGTTCACACACCTCCCTTCTTTTTCTTGTGTTAAGGAGGGAATCTTGAAAGATGAGTTCTTACCCCTTTATATCCCACACTCTGTCTTCCAGGTCTGAGACATACCCATTTTTATGGTCAGTCTTAGCATGTTTTCTTAATGTGAAACTCACCCCAGGCCCAGGAAGAACTCTATGTTGCAGAGAGAATTCTATATAAATAAATAAATATAAAGTATTATAGATTATATACACATGGGCATGGGCTTGGATGCCCACTGCTATTTCTCCTACCTAGGCCCCAGTGTCTTCCTTGGCCTGGGGAGGTGGAAAGAACCCATGTTGGAGAAGGCCATTGTTCAACGACACTAAACAGAATGTGGTGGCATCCTCTGACTATGAGTGTCTTATTTGGGGGAGGGGGATAGAGGAGACCTGGTCAAGGGGAGGGGCAGACGGAGAATGTCTGAGGACTCAAATGCAAAACTGAAGGCCTACAGTGAGGGAAAGACAAGCCCATGAATGGGGCCGGGTGTCTGGATGCTCAGAACACGTGGCGTCTCTTTCTAGGTGAAGCTATTGCTGTGCAGTGCAGCCATCAAGCTACTGGGTGGTTTGAAAGGAAAAAGATGGGAGCCCTCTAAGGGTGGGGCAAACTAAAGCTTGCCACACCAAGGGTACCCCCCAAGTCTATGCCGGAAGATCCCAAGGAGCTATTACAAAGGTCTGGAATCTGCATGAGCCACTGCTAGGTGAGAGCCTTATTGATGCTTGGGTAGGAGTGGCTCCAAGGCAGAGGTGACTGTTGGCAGGCTAAGCAGCCACCACAGCGGGAGGGAATATGTAAGCTCTAGGGGTAACCTGGAACTACACAGACAGCCAGTGACACAAGAGAGCTTTCTCCTGCAGTGGTCAGACACACACTATAGGCCGTGACACCTTCCCCTGCACACAGATCCTTTGTCAACCTCCTTTTCAGGGGCCTGTACTTGGTTCCCGGAACCAAGGGTTGGCTCTTTCAGCCCTGAAGATGGGTCTGGTCTGGGAAGAGGCAGGGGCAGTAACCTCTGGGTCTGGAAACAGATTGTGGGGAACAAATAGGCAGACAGTGGGGCTGGCAGGCCTGGGGGCAGGTTGTAAGGTGATCACTCGGCGGGGCAGTGTTGTGGTCCCACATCCCTTCCAATGCGA